CTCACTTTGCTTTCAAATTTTCCGCCTAGGTCACAGGCTGAATCCTAGGATGCATTAAAAGGCATTTAAACCCATGGGACTGGGTGAATTGCCTCCAATGAGTTGAGAGTAGATACCCACAGAGTTAAAGAAAAAAAAAAAAGGACTAAGTCTATAAAAAAAGGACTAACACTATAAGACTTAGAGGTTGGGAAGAAAAAAATTCTCTGGCAGCTGAGAAAGCCATGGTCATTAAGGCAGGAGTGTGCATTGCTGTGAAGACCAAAAACAAAAAAAGGGAGAGAAAGGTCAAAATTGTTGCTCCAAAATTAAATTGAAATGAAATCATAAGTGTCTTCCAAATTCTTCTCTATCTAAGGAACGTATGTTCATATTTAACATTCAATGCTAATGACTTGGTTGGTAAATTCCCCACCCATCCAAACCATCCCTTTTCCCCTACCATTAGTCAGAATCAGGTTTACTAGTACCGGGAGATTCAATCTCATTGTATCATTTTCTTCAAGGCTTTAGTGAGGTTCATCAGTAAAAATGCTCAAAATAAAAATATTTTGTGACTAACAGATTTGGGTTTCTGTCCTGACTCACTCTCTCTCTCTCTCTCTCTGTCTGTCTCCATATATATATATATATATATATGTATACACACACACACACATATACAGATTTATATACACACAATCTCCATATATAGATATAATCATATATCTCCATATATATAATCATGTGTATATGTCCATATATATAATCTTATATATCTAAGATTATTTCATTAAACACACATTTAGAAAGGAACTGTCATTTGTATTAATATTCTGATCAACATAGTCATGGTTTTTATTCTTTATATGGGAGTATAGTATAGTTGCAAAAAAATACAGACAGAAAATCGATCTGAATTCTACCCTGACAACTTATGACTATAAGACATTGGATAAGTTCACTAATTCTCTGGGCCTCAATGTCCTCATTTGAGAAGTGTGGTTAATAACATGTACTAAAAGTCTTTGCGAGGAGTAAATGAAAACATATACTTAGAATGGAGCAGACACTTGATAGTAAACACTAGTGTCACTCCCTTTAATGAAGGTTTTTCTCATAGTATCTGACAGGGTATCTGATATTATACAAATGGAAAGCCTTAAGAAAGTTTATTTTTATATTTTCCTATAGCAACAATTGGAATCTAAAATCTATATGATATTCAGTTAGGTTCTGAAGACATCATGTTCAGTCGTATGTTGGTATAATAATGTATCTCACCACTCACCACTGTAAAATGATCAATTCTATTTATTAACAATTATGTACCTTTAATGATAGAATGTAGTAATATCTTTAACAGAAAATTATCTTTCTGTCAATGGGTTTACCTTTCTATTCACTGTTATTTTATTTTAACTCAAGCTTTTAATATCATGCTGAAATAATTACAGACAACAGTGTGTCAAATATTTAACTCATTTTCTATCCCAATACCAGGATATTTCTAAGCGATATTAAATGTAAGGCAGACAGCCGCAAATCTTAGGATTAAGAGATTTTAGAATGAAAGGGGCAGGAGAAAGAGTTAAAAAAGTTTTTACTAGATACAGGTTTACGTTTTGGCATTTATGATATCTTAGTCTTTCAGGACTTATTACCATCAAGTACAGAAATGTAATTCAAAAGATCAAATTACAAGAGTAACACCAAAATTCTGAGTCACATCCACATCTTGTTACCAACCTCCCTGCTTCATCTCACTGCTGCTTCATTTTCATCTGTATATTCCTGAAAATGACATGAGCTTTGTGGTATCAGCTTACATTTTGCTGTAATATTAACCACAAAGCCTCTAATAAAATTGTATTTGGTGTTAGTGTCTACCTTTCAAAAGTGATTTTGAATCACAGGAAGGAAAGAAGAGAGATCCATTGAAATAATGGACAAAACTTGCCGTTCTTGCAGTATGTCTTAAACAAACAGTTTAAAAGTTGAAATTTGTACTCATTCTCTCATGCATACAAGGAAATGAGATTTAGAAAAATAATAATAATATTTTCCTTTAACTATCCATAAAACTAACTGGAAGACACTGGCTATTGTTTTATTTTTATAGATTTGGGAACTTAAAAACAGACACTTGTCAGATATGGGGGTTGATATAAATTAAAAATATAAAATTCCACGTTTAAGAGTAAATCAAGAATTTCTTGATTACTCGTTTAGAAAATGATGCACATTTTTGGTCACCAAAATACCTGAAGTATCTAAACAATGTATGGCATATATTAGGCACTCAATGATATTTATGGAATGAATAAATTGCATAAATATATAAAACTACAAGTGTTTATGTACTAATCTCTTTAAAAACATTTCGTCTTTTCTCCAAAAAGCTAAAGCAACACTTACTGAGTTGCCAACACAGCTTATTTTGCAACAAGACTAATTGTTTTAAATCTAGATCTAATCTTCACACTAAAACCATTTTATAATTTAAAACTTAAAATGTGGATGCTAGGCCACATGTGGTAGCTCACGTCTGTAATCCCAGCACTTTGGGAGGCTGAGGCAGATGGATTGCTTGAGCTCAGGAGTTCAAGACCAGAGACCAGCCGGGGCAACATGGCAAACCCATTTCTACCAAAAATACAAAAATTAGCCAGGAATCCTGGTGCATGCCTGTGATCCCAACTACTCAGGAGGCTGAGGTAGAAGGATTGCTGGAGCTTAGGAAGTTGAAGCTGCAATGAGTCTTGATGGCACCACTTTATGCCAGTCTGGGCAACAGAGCAAGATCCTGTCTCAAACAAACAAACAAAAAAACACAAACATATGTGGATGCAGATCTTCTTTCCTTTCAAGAGAAGATTTTTCCATCAGAAATATGGTAGATCCACCTGAGTAGTGTGATGCCTATTGGTTGAATAGATCCCTAAACTTAGAAAAAACATCTGTCAACATTTTAACTGAATGTGTAACCTTACTCTATTACATCAGTTTTATCTCCCTGTTGAGATTGTTTTCTTGAGATGCAAAGAATAAGATCAATTATCCTAAATCTCTCAGTTTTCTGGTTATATGCCTCTATGCTCAGAGTGACTGTCCTCATTCAAGTCACTGTCACATCTTTCCATGTTCACTACAATATCTAATTTTAATAGATTTTCCTGTTTCTTCTCTACCTCCAGTTCTTTCTTTATAAAACACTAAAATACAAATCTAATCAAATGGTTCCTATGCTTAAAATTCTTCAATCACATGGGTAGTATGCCCTGAGAACAAAATCTCAAACGCCTTAAGTACACTCCATACACATCCATTTTCTGACATTATTCTTATTCATTTTTCTAGTTTATCTTTGGCTGTTCTTCCCATCTTACTGAACACTCTAGCCATATGGATCTATTTTCAATTCCCCAACATGCTAGGCAATTTCTCACCTCCTGGCCTTAGCCCAAGCTTGGTCTGAATGTCCTTCCTCACACCCTTCAGTTGTGAAAGGAGCTTGGTGAACACACACTCAAGATACAAATCACCATCTCCGGAAATCTTATCATGAGCCACAGCTGGAATATTTATGTTTCCCTTCTATATTCTTTCAGGGTGTGCTGTGCATAATTTTAACAAAGTATTTTTCAAGCTCTACTGTAGTTACTATTTTACTTGATCCTCCAGATTCTTAAGGACTGGAAAAATGTCTAATTTGCTACATTCCCACTAATGCCTTTGTATTTGGTACTGATGATGTTCTTAGCAATTTTTAAATATTAGCATGTACTGTAAGCTCATTATACACACAATTTCATTTAATTGTGGCAACAATCCTAAGGGGTCAATATTATTATCTGCAGAAAGCTTGATAACTTATCTATATTCATACATTTGATAAATATCAAAGCCAGGACCCCAATCTGTATGAGTCCTGACCCTCTGTTCCTAATTACTATGATAATAATTCCCTGGCAAAATTGCTACTTAATATTTTTTTGAGTATATAATGGGTGGATCTATCAATCAAAGTGAGGGAAATGAAACACCAATGTTTTAAGACCAATATATTAACTCCTCTTAAAAGTATTAGTATAATTATTGCTCAAAATACCTGCACATTTCCCTTTTAAAGTAAAGAGATGGTCATTGAAGTATATTTTGTTGTTAATATCAGGAAAATACTGATTCCTGCTTGGTTGGTATAGCCAAAATTTGTGTTAAATACAGAAAAGTTTTGAAACCAAATGATAGTATTTTTTGCCATATAAAAGCTATGCTTTTCAAACTGGAAACAAGCGTCTCAAACTACATATACAGTATATTAGCTTTCAATCAGCAATGTAAACAATGTAATATAAGCATTACATGAACTCTACATTAAGATAAACCAAACCACTTTTGCTAAGACAGATGTAATCACTCAAATTTCATTGGGAAAGAGGTAACAGCATTATTTGGTCTAGGTTCCAAGTACATTTTTTAATAAATAGCTTGAGCTTTGTAGATTCATTTTTTCATAATACCTAATTCCAACATTTAAACATTATTGTGTTTCAACTGTTCTGTGCTTAGGATGCAATTGTAAAACAGGCCAGTATTTGATCTTTCTTCATTAGGCTGTTTTTAACTGATACTTATTTTCACAACTCCTTCTTAAATAATACTAAAAAATGTATATGGTTACCCTTCTTCATACTTCAAGTCTCCTTATTTTTGTATCAGAAGTCTAAAAAAAGTATAACATTATACAATAAAGAAGTTATACTCAGAAATATCCAACATTTTCATTTTAATCAGAATATAATTTTAAAATTATTCAGGGCTAAATCCAAAAAATCAGCTTGACCCTAAGCAATATATGGCTCTGGAAAACATTTATTTTGGTGCTGAATATAAGCAAAAAAAAAAAAAAATTGAATGAATTGAACTGTATCTTATTATGATGATTTAAAAATTAGATCCACTTGTTTAAATTGTGTTTTAGTAATTATTTTATACATCTAAATTTATATTTTGTATATCATACTCATTTTAAAGTAGGTACTATGTTAAGGTGAATGTAGGTACTACATTAAGATGAATCAAAGTTTAAAAGATTCTGTGAAAAGTTCTCTTCTATATCCATTTGCCTGTCTTGCAATTCTTCTCCCCAGTGGACTCCAATGTTACTGTCTTTTTGTGTATACTTCCTGTCCAAATATATACATACATACATATATTAGAGGACTAGATCCATTTCCTGGCTCTTCACTAACCATGTAACTGATAGCGAAACTCAATCCCTTAGAAGTGGAGCACATTTGTAAAGTATAAATGCCAAACTAGATGATTAGGTTTCTCCCACTTCTAAAATGGCACAATGGATGAAAGCTAACAACATTCTTTTACTCCTCCATTTATTTTCATCTAATGTTTAAACATGCTTCTTTAATCCATGATAGAAAGTTCGTTATTTACGTGCACATCTGGAAGCTACAGGGATTTATAATCTTATCTGTCACCACTGTTTTTCTATCCTACTTGACGTCTTATCACCTAAAATAATTCAAGCCTAGCTTAGAAGATAATTCATGGACTCAAAGATTTCCTCTACCCCAACTCATTGATGTCTCAAGGAAATGTGGACTCAAAGTGACCAGATCTTTGACTTATTCAAGAGAAACCACTAAACCAAGTTGTTAAAATCTCCTGATTAAAAAATGTTGGTAAACTATAAAATTTTACAAATAGCTCTCTGCAGATCAAGCAAAGTATAACCAAGGATTGTATTTAGCCTATAACTCATGAGTTTCAGTCTAGAACGTGCTGACTGATAAGAAACTAAATTACAGTCTGTATAAACACAGTATTAAATATGGTATTACCACCTTGATACAAGATGGAGGATACTGATGGGAGATTAGCCCTAACTTGATGTCAAAAGCAACTGCTCACAACTTTTCTTGCCTTTACTCTTACTAAAGATAGTTTACTCAGCTCTTGATCTCAAAGATATTATCCTGAAGTTAACTATTACTTTTTGTAACTTTTGATCTTCCAGGATAGCTTTGATGTTTATTATGATGTTATTGTCCTTTTATATTAATAGTAATATTATATGAGATGAGAAGAACACAGAATCCCTCTTGACATGTAATCCAAAAGAAATAGTCTAGCACAGTCTCATGTTCTCCAAAAGGCCCATATCTTAAATGACTCAACTCCACCTCCAAAGGACACCTGAACTCATTCATCTATATCCTCTGTCTTCGGAGAAACCCTCATCAACATACTTCAATATAGTGCTAAGGTCAAACACATACTGCTTAAAATGATCCTGGCCAAAGATAAGCAAGTGAAAATGTGCTAAGTGTTGGATGAAACTGTATAAGTATCAATAGGAAAAAAGCCAGAAAAAAGTCAGAAAAATGCTATTGCCAGAAAAAAAACGATTTAAGGATCAAATGAAAGAAAGCTATGAAGACAGTAAAAGAAATTGGAAAATTTTAATTAAATGCCTTGGAATATCAATTATAATTATTCAGCAACAGTTCTCAAATTTGTATTATTTTGCTATAGCTTTGCTTAATTTCTTTCCATTTCTGATTTGTACAACTTGTGTATCCGAACAGTCAGAGGATCTACTTTTTAAAGTCCATTTTTACTAGAGTTAAATATGAGTAGAGCATCACTCTGTTTCTTACTTGAAGGTTTTTCTATGGAATAATTGAATAAGCCAGAGCTAAATGCTCCACTGCAGGTTGAAGTAAGTCCACTATTTTGGTTGGTTTAACAATAAATGAAAATCACATGCAAAATTATCCATAGCCTTCGGCAATCATCTGAAGAATATTTAACAAACTGAAAAAAAAATTGCACCGTGATTCTTATATAGTGTCACTAATAAAAAAGTGGAAAACAGAACCTCCAAATTCTTCTAAATTAGCTGCCTAATGCATTTTGATTAAACACTTCCACATGCTTATTATAAACCACTAATGTGATTCACATTGTGATTTCTTTCTATGAGTGACACCTCAATGATTTATAAGTAACACTTTATGAGAACAATGTGGAAGGAATACGTACCTCTGAAAGCCTTTACTATAGGCACTTGGACAATAACTTAATCATCTGGCTTAATGTTCTCTATACAGGCCTATCATCAGTTCTTGGCACAAGGATTCTCAGAAAACCTTTAACACCTGTTGTCGTTTACATCAAAGATACTGGCTTTGGTATTTCAATATACAGTGTTCTCCCAATAACAAATTTGTCCCAGGATCCCCTCTATCTGAGTTTATTTTAACTTACCTGGAACCACTGTAAGCTCCATCCTTGCCAGGAGATTTATAGCAAGCAAAATGTTTTTTGTCTCCTTTGATTATTCTTTTTTTAGGTTGACTTGATAGGGTGAAGCGGCATGGTGGTGGTGATTGCATGGAGAAGCAGTTAAATTCTTGCAAGGTCGAATTACAATCACTATTGTCTCCTTTTTGTTTTTATGTTCTCAAACACCATACACCAAAAAATCTCGTAGACCTACCTCCTACCCTCATTTCTCACAGATTCCTAGAAATCCTATTCTTCTAAGTGAACTAACATACAAATGGTGTATTATCCCATTATCAGGCTGCTATGAAGAAATACTCAAGATTGGGTAATTTATAAAGAAAAGAGGTTTAACTGACTTACAGTTCTGCATGGCTGTGGAGGCCTCAGAAAACTTACAGTCGTGTCAGAAGGCAGTCTGTCCTCTTCACAGGGCAGCAGGGAAACAAGTGTCAAGTGAAGTGGAGAAAGCCCCTTTTAAAGCCATCAGGTCTCCCGAGAACTAACTATCACGAGAACAAGATGCAAGCAACCTCCCCCAGTGATTTAATTACTTCTTACTGGGTCCCTCCTATGATTGTGGGGATTATGGGAACTACAATTCAAAATGAGATTTGGGTGAGGATACAGCCAAACCATATCACATGTGAACAATGGTAACTATTCATCTATTTTTTTATATCACACATCCGATATGAAATCTTAAACGCTGATTATTCTCTTGATTTCATAAATGGTGAAACTGAGAATTCAGTGACTTTCCTCACAATGTTAATTTATAATTACTGTGTTGCTAGGTCCAGGTGTTCTCCATTTCATCAAAGTAATTTAAATACTTGTTCAAGGATAGGCCAATTCAGTGTCAGATAGTGTACATTAAATCTAATAAAATTATTTATAAATATTGAGTTGTGGTAAATATTCAGCAACTATAAAATCAGTTAATATAAAAGACAGCATAAATTGTAAAGAAAAAGTCCACATTAGCTTTTAATCTGTATCTATCAATTTCCTTGGCATATGTAAGCATGTAGTAAAGATGATACCACTTAAATAGCAAAGTTATTAGAGTTGGATGAGAGTTTTAAGCAGTAATTCTCTAATAGCAAGCTGCTTTTTTCTTACATTTAGAGAGGTTACAGTCACATCTGATACCTAGGAAGGCATCTCATATTAAGAGTCAGAGAGAGTAGATTTCTGTTTTCCCCTGAGTGAGAATGCTTTAACTATTCATGGGTTCAATTACAAAAAAGCTGGATTTTATTCTTAGATCTGAATATATTTAGGAAAAGCTGGCATGAAGGATATTTTACCTCAGAGGAAAGGAATGAACAAATTAGTCAATTTTTCCTTTTTGTGATAATTTGATCACAGGGAAATAAATTCCAGAATATTGTTAAAGGCTGTGTATAGTTTCATTATTTTATCATAATAAAGGAAGTTTGGCTCACTAATAACATGCTGAGCATATGGAGGACATTTAGAAGAATAAATGAGGCATTATTTTTGAGAGATGGTAATTAAACCTTGTTCAGTCTTGTTTCTCTTTGTTCTTGTTGTTAGTATGTGTTACTTTATTATTAGGCAAAAAATGCCCTTTAACAAAATTTAGCTTATTGTGGCATGCATAAGATAGTAGGTATTCTAAGTAGTTTCTACAGCCTACTTAAAGTTATTACATGACTATAATAAAATTGTACTATAATTTAGGTACAGTTGATAAAAATGTTGAATTCAGTTAGTTATACCAGGTAGTAATCATCAATCTAGAAACCAAACAAATCATGGACAAAGTCTTCATAATGAGAAGGGTCCTCATGAAATTGCAAATTTAGGGCCAGGCATGATGGCTTATGGCTGTAATCCCAGCACTTTGGGAGCCCAAGGAGGGTAGATCACCTGAGGTTAGGAGTACAAGACCAACCTGGCCAACATGGTAAAACCCTATCTCTATTTATAATACAAAAAAAATTAGCTGGGTGTGGTGGTGCATACCTGTAATCCCAGCTACTTGGGAGGCTGAGGCAGGAGAATCGCTCCAACCCAGGAGGCAGAGGTTGCAGTGAGCTGAGATTGCACCACTGTACTCCAGCCTGGGCAACAAGTGTGAAACTGCATCTCAAAAAAAAAAAAGAAAGAAAGAAAAGAAAATGCAAATTTTAACTTATCTCTATTGTCTTTAAGTATGTAGGCACAAAAACAAAATCTTCCGTAGTCACTTCTTCACCATTATGTAAACAGAAGTTGCAAGAATTGAAAGAGATATAACATATACTTAAAATTTCAATTTGATTATAGAAGCAATAGGTAGTTCAGGAAAATAAAGCTCTGTATTTAATACTGATTCTCAGGAATAAGGAGAATTTGATAGCATTTCTTAAAGGCATGAGTGATTAGTAATAAAGTGTACATGTAAAATTGCCTTTGATTTTTAGCCAGCAGAAGAAAAAAGCAGACATCTAGGAAGGATATCATGTGCATAGCATGTATATCACATCTTGAAAGAAAAGTCTAAATGGTTGGAAGTACCAAGTGATAATCCAGAAAGCTGACTTGTTATTACGCTTTTCAATTTGGTTTTAGGAATTTCAGGACATTTTCATGCAACAATAGCTAATGCATTTTAAGTGGACACATAAAAGAAATGTACAGCTGCTTATCAAATGAACAAATTATAAAAGCTTACCAAATAGCTATCTTTGAAAAGTAAAAACAAAATCCTGCAATTCTTATTAAATATCTCATATAAGTATATAGCTAGAGATAAAAAAGTAGGCAAACATATTATGAAGATTATTTTAAAATGTTTAAGGGAGTCATTGACAAAGTGTTAAAATACCAAGATGAACAGTACTATGGATTATAAATCACATGGAATATTTATTGTTGTACAGCAACATTAGTTGGGTAATATTGACATGATAAATCCCAAATAGCATTTAAATTAACATTTGCAAATACACAGTTTGTTAATTCACATTATCTTCAGAAGATGGGTTCTGATTTCTATTAACCTTGACTCTTGTCAAGCATTAATATGACCGAAGTAATAACAAATGCTCCTTTGCCATTCATCTATAGCAAGACGACCTCTATTTCCAATATTTATAACCATTTGACACAATCTATGAAGGGAATCGAAATATCCTCCCATCATAGATCTTCAGTTTGCTCAATGTGGAAAAAATAAATATAAAATCCAAATTTAACTTCACTTTCAAAGGCATATACGACGGTTTCCCAACACGTCTTGCCTATTTAAAAAAATTTTATGATGGTAAATAAACCCTGGAAAATTCCTTCTCAGATTTTACCACCTGAAACTGCAGCTGTTGGCTGCCACTATCACAGTCTCACAACTCCAAACTCACGTGCAAACCTCATCAAGGGCAGACATTTCTAATTGATTCCAGAAGTATGGTTTTTTGGGGGTTTTTTTGCTTAGATCAGGGGGCAAAGGAAGAATAATGAGCAGCTTTTCAGAGGGAATTGAGGGTTAGGGTGTTGAGGGGAGGGGGTGGCGCTTTTAAAATCTCAGGCTTGGCCAGAAATGCGTGGCAATTTTACGGTCAATTGGCGAGAGCATCTGGAACCAGGCATTCTGGCCTTGCAGTTGATGGTAGTGAAACCAGCTTACAGGCAAAGGCAAGCCGGTAATGAGTCCCTGTCATGTACTAGTGGAAACCACGTTGACGGTCTGCCAAATATCCCTGCTCCTTTTCTTAGCGACAGGATTCCTTTCAGAGCCGTTGTCTAGTATCTGCAATCTGTCCTCGTATAGATCTTCATCTGTTTTCTCTATTCTTAAAGACAATGCAAAAATAAAGCCTAAAAATTAGAACGTATATGTGCTTGGTTCCTTATGTGCTGACATGGCTCTGTATCACAAGGTTGTGTTTGCTTTCATTTGGGGCATATATTTCAAACGCAGCGGCCATCTTGTTAGTGCATGGGGAGTGTCGGATGCGCAGGTCGTAAATCACAGCACAGCGCACGGCACACTCAGAGGAGAGGAGGTGAAATGCAGGCCCTTTGTTATTTCAAATGTAGGACAGGTGATTATTCTTAAAAAGGTGGGAAGGGGGCAGGGTTCTTTTTTAAATGCCAAGCAGAAAACCAAGGGTGATATGGAAATAATTTCTTAGGAGTAAATGATGTTTACTTTAGGCTGCTGCTCGTAATTCACCACGCTGACATTGGTAGATTACACCCAGGAATAAGTCAGGTAATAATAGGACAGTCATGACAAATGTAGAGATGTGTCAACAGGGTGGAAACTGGTTCTGTGGTGAAGAACAAACCATGCAGAAAGCTAGATTTCTAATATTCTCAAATCTCTATTTTTATCCAAATAATGTAATTAATGGAGATTGTATTCATGTTATAACGCACTGAAAATTCCGGGGTTTGTGATGTTAAACTAAATTCAACATGCATGCACTTAGCTGATCTACTCTTGGCAGGGAATCCCTTCTTGTTTTCAAACAAAAGTAAAACCAGCATAAAAGCAAGACTAAATGAAACAACAAACAGCTAAACTAAAAGAAAAAAATGTATTTAGAATACTTTTCAAAAAACATATTTTTGGATGTGAAGTTTTTCTGAAAACACCTGTGTTCTGATGATTACAGTATGTGTGAATCAGAAATATGTAGAATTAGTGTAGCTCAAAATATACGTAATATTAAAATGCATAAAAAAAAGTGAACAGATAGAAAATGACATCTACTTGAACAAAAAGTATTATTTTTTAAAAGCAACTGCACTTGGATGCCTGTGTTGGTACTTAAAAATAAGAACATACCAGAGAAGAGAAAGGTGAGTAAGAATATAAGCCATATTTCTGTCTTTCCAGTTTTAATTGTCTTAAGATGATGCATAGAAAACTATCATGTATTATTCTCTAAGATGTGGATTTAATATCTTAAAATCCCATACAAAGCCAATACATTTTGGAAAATTTCATGTGATAATTTGCAATTTACTGTGTCAAAACTAATCTTTCTCCTTTTATAAAGTAGAAAAGCAATACTATATTCTAATATTTTTAATTTTACTTCCAAGTATTTTGTTGTTCATGGAAAGAAAAACTGACTATTTTTAGAAGGAATACAGGAAGAGGACAATGTCGTTTTTAAAGGAGACCACAAATAAGTCATCCCAAATGGCTTATTTTCACCTTCAACTTAGCTAGCCCCAAAACTCAGTCCATCAGTTATTTTCTATGTACCATTACAGAGTAGTAAACAACATGTTCATGAGGGATAGATGTACATCGTGAATGAGACACATATAATGCTCTCCTCATAGGACCTGGAAGAGTAAACATTTGTTAATTGCATGTGATGGTAATGATACATCTTGAAAAAGATTACATCCTTATATTCTAAAAACATTTATAAGGATAATAAGTGAAAGCAAACAATTTTTAAAGTGGCAGGATACTCAAATTGAGTTAGAAGTAAAGGAAGAAGAATATTTGCAAACCTTTATTATATTAACAAAAATATCAATGGATCTGCTAGTAACCCCAGTGTTTACATGTTTTATGCTATTTCCTGAATGTTGCATTTTTTTCTAAAAATAAAAATAGATTATATCCTATAAATTACATTCAAATACATTACATAAAGGTAATTTTCAAAAAGGTTAATTTATAGAATATAAAAGGGATACAATCTGGGACTATGACCTAAGGTGAAGTGGCTTATATTATTGACTTACACATGGCTAATGAACAGGTAAAATGACTAATATTTGGCTTATTGAAGAGAAGATTCATGTACTCACTAACATAGTGCCATGAACATGGGAGATTTTCCAATGTTTCAGAAATTTTGACATAAGGTAGGGCAAATTTGGGATTAATTTTAAGTGTGAATACTCTCCCCTATGCAAGAATAGAGAAAATCATCATCTGTGCACTTAAAATAGTAAATCTTGCTAAAGAAGCTGAGATCATGGAATTAATTCAAATTATACACTAGCTTAATATTTTTGCATAATTATAGCCAGTTTTCATCATCCTGCCCAGAAGTTGTATAAATGTATACTGGTTGTTATAGGAGGAATTGTAGCTGGATATATCAGCATGATACGGAAAAAATGTTTATCTGAATTAATAATAATCAATGGTATAATAGTACCTTTTTCATATATAAAGGTGAGTATTGTATTGTATGGAATTATTCTATGGAAATAAAATCTATTCGCATTCAGTCCAGAGGTAAAGAGACAAACTACAAGCTGAAAGAAGATACTTTCAATAAACATAAATGACAAAGAACTGATATTATCATCATATATAGAAATTCTAAAAATCAAGAAAAAGAAAACAAAACAACTGAATAGAATGGATAAAAGGTACCAAAAGAATCACAGGAAAGGAAACACAAATTGCCAATAAACATAAAATAATGATCAACTTCAACAGAAAACAGTACTTACGAATACAATGAGATACTACTTAATTTCCCAAATGGACAATAGGTTAGAAATCTGACAGTTTTGGTGAGGAAATGTATACTCTGATAGTGGCAAATTTTATAATCACTTGGAAAACAATTTGGCATCATTTTAAGAATTTAAACAAGCATATTTGCTATAATCCAGCAATTCCCATCTAGCTCTAGAAACTAGAGAAACTCTACATATGTGCAACATGCACTAGAAGATGTGTACATGAATTTTTATTGCAGCATTGCAATAGCAAAACCTAGAAACAATGCTAGAGAACAGATAGATACGTATTGTCAGCAGTGAACCACTCTATAGGAACAGAAATGGATATGAGTACAGGCAACAAAAATAATACATTTGAAAAATTACAGTTTTTTTAAAAAAGCATGGAAATGATAAGCACAAAGTACAAAGTAATTGTTCTACCTGTGGAAATATGAGTTGCATCACACAGATAGCAGATACCATAGTGTTAATAGTTCACTGATATTAAAATTTTATTTAGACTGGTGTTTATTTTATCTTTTATAAAAATACTATATCTAATTTGATATCTCAAATGCTATAGAAAAAAACAGAGGTGATGAAAAATATCAAATAAAACTAATATAGCAAACATTATCTTACAATAATATATTTTATTTAGAATGGTATTTATT